TAGCAGTACTACAACCACTCATTGAGCGCTCAGTGAGCTTTTACATCCGATTGGTACGTTCCTTTAGATTATAAAAATATACGCCAATCAAGTGCAAGAGCTCACTTAATACTCAGTGAATGGTTGTAATATTGAATGCACCTAATCAATCTCACCCAATCAAAGGAAATTATATACTAATCAGCCAATCAGGAAATGTTGGCCACTCTCTTCTCAAGCTTTTTGAAGCTGAATCTACAATAGATATAGTAAGCCTCAAGTTGCAAAAAAATTGACCAATCACAGTCAACTATCTTCTTTACATTCGATTGTGGAGATTTTTCTCAGTACCGGCTGTAAAAATTCACCAGATTTATATTATACTTTTCTCAAAAAATTTTCCAATTTCCAAAATGTGAAAAAAATCACCAAATTTGATAAAATTTCGCCAAGGTTGGCAACTATGAATTAAGCCCAAAACAGTTCGAAGCAGCTCGGAACTTCGTGTGACTCACCAATCACTAATTCAATCGCGGCCTCGCGCGCTCCTGCTCGAACCACCCACGAAGGATAATGATCCAAGAGATATCATCGTGCGAAACTTTCGCGACACGGGGTCGATAGCACACCGCAGTGGCCTCCCATCATTGCACGCTTTCTCTTTTTTTCTCTCTTTTTCTTTTTCTCCGTACGCGCGAGTGTGTCGTTTTTCCGCGGCTGCTCCTGGCGACTCCTCTCTTATGCGTCGATTCGCCGGCAGAAAATTACGATGAGGCGGCGCGCCCGGCTAACGGGTGACTCACCCGTGAGAAGTGCGATCCACCTACGAGCAGGTCGCATCGACGGGAAAGCTTCATTAGACGATGCTGCGCGAGAGAACACGCCACGAGTTCGAGGAATGACCGTGATTTATCGTTACGTCACAAAAACGCGAAACTCACCGCTAACCGCTGACTGCTGTAGCTAACTCGGGATACGTTAGAGCGAGCCACTCTCGCGCGCGTCTCCGCACATGTCACATTCCTGTCAGGAGGTTATTAATAAACGCCATTCTGTCCTGTTGCCGCTACCGCGCGATTGATCCACGGTTAACATCGATCCAATGCGAAGCCTGTCTCCGGAGTACTTTGATCCTACTCTCTGTCAAGCCGAACATTATTTGATACGCCGCAAGACATATATAGCTATCTCTGTCTCTGTCTTTCTACGTAAATCCTATCCTTCTCTCTCCCTCCCCCCTTTATACATATCTCGCTTCTTCATCGAGATATTTAATATCACGATACCTAAAGACACGATAAAAAAAAGTCGTTAAATCCTCATCGGCTCATACAACGATCAGGCATTTAGCGTGATAGCGTAGAAAAAAACGTGAGCAAGAAAGCTCAAGCTGCGAGCGCATCGATCAGTCACAGTCGAGAGTTTCAACGTGACAGTTTCAAGCGGATAGCGCATAGAAACATGTACCAAGTGGAACTTAAGCAGTAAGCGAATCATATTGAGGAGAATGATTGAAAATGTGAGAATATTTGCGTTGAAATTCTTTCGACCATGACCAGACAATTCGCTTATTACCTGGAAGTCTTATTGCTTCGGTTTGCGTGCTACGGTCAAACAAAAATATAATGCAAATTCAATCAGTTAATCTTGATGGCTAATTTGAACTGAGCCGCAGCATTAATCGCTTGGTCGTAATTGCCAGAAATTGACTATAGACAAAATATATTTATTGCATAGTGGAAATCCATTTGTTTAAATTGGATGCTCATATCAAGGCGGATAACTTGGAAAGCAAGCATTCCAAAGTATCTTGTCATATATGCGTATTATTAGCTATTCCGGTTAGTTTTGAAGGCTTAATATGGATGGCTACAGCTACAAATCTACTAGAGATATTTTGAAAGTTGCTACGCCATTTTAAAACATGGCTATTTCTACAAATAATTTTATATATGACATGTGCATTCGTGAATATAACCACACTTTTTGTGCGATTGAAAATGGAACACGGTAAAGAGTATTTTCGACATTTACTGCTTTATTGTTCCGATTCGAAGAAAACGGCTGAAGCCCACCGATTCATCTCAGAAACTTATTCTGACTTTTCTTCAGCGGTTAAAACATGTGAGTACTGATATCGGCGATTTCGGCGTGATGATTTCGATTTGAAAGACAAGAAACGTTCAGGTCAACTAAAAAAGTTTGAAGATACCAAATTGCAGGCATTATTGGATGAAAACTCAGCTCAAACGCTTCAAGAACTAGCTGAAATATTAAATGTCGGTAAATCAATCGTTTCAAATCGTTTACACTCAATGGGGAAGAATTCAAAAAGAAGGCAAATGGGTTCCACATTGTCTGAATTGGCTATTCAAAATCGTTTAACCATTTGTACTTCACTGCTTTCTCTCCACCAAAAGCAGTTCTTGTATCAAGTAATAACTGGAGATGAAAAATGGATTCACTGTGATAATCCTAAGCATAAAAAGTCGTGGATAAGTCCAGGCCAACCATCGACATTGACTCCAAAACGTAACACCCACGGAAGTAAAGTTTTATTGTGCATTTGGTGGGACATGAAAGGCGTCGTGTTTTATGAGTTGTTACAACCGAATCAAATAGTCACTGCTATACGTTATCAACAATTAGTCGATTTTAATCATACTTTAAGCAAAAACGTCCAGTTATAGCTTAAAGAAAATGCAAATAATTTTGTTGCACGATAATGCTCGACCGCACGTTACAAAAAACAGTTAAGGATACATTATCGACTCAATGGGAGGTTCTGCCACACGCCACGCATTCACCAAACTATGCTCCTTCTGATTACCACTTATTTCGATTTATACAGCACTAGCCTTGCTAACTAGCAAGACAACTTCAAATCATATGAAGAAATACAAAAATGGCTCGATGAGTGGATTGCTTCGAAAGACGAACATTCCTTTTATCGTGGAATTCACTTGTTGCCCGAAAAGTGGAAAAAAGTTATAGCTAGCAATGAAAAATATTTTAAATAAAACATAATTTAACATCTCTCAAAAATAAATGTGTCCTTTTGCAAAAAATCTCTTCACACTAACCAAAACACCTAATAAAACGTTAGTTTATATGTGGTAAAGAAGATACCTCGCTGTAACATCTAGATTCAAATGGCTGATAAAGTGAGTTTCAATAATAATGATATTAGCTATTTCTAAGAAATATTTCAGCTGCTTCGGCTACGTCTTATAGAAAAACGATCGGAAACATCTTCCATGCTCAAGTTATTAGTTAAAAGAGCCTTTAGATGTAGTCATTTTCAATCATTAATAATAACTTAATAATTATTGCAATTTTTGCAAAATACTTGACTTTTCTTTTCATCAGTTCGATCTGATGTTGATCTTCACAATGTTTTCGTTTCCAACTAAGACTTTCATGGACTTCGGATACGTCGTAAAACAGTCAAAAGTATTAGGCCCATATTCTTTACGTGTGCTTGTTTCGATGTTTGAGAACTGAAGCAATGCCTCGGAAGTAAAAGTAATCTTAATTTCAACGAATATATCCAAGCTACAAGATATGTGGTTTATTCAAATGTTTTGTGGTGTTTTATGCTCTTTACAAAAATATGTGCAAATTTTCCAAACATCGTCGAATTTTTTTCATTTAATCCCACCCACCTTTATTTTCTGTGATTTTGAAGTCTCCATATGAATCGAAATTAAAGAAAAGTTTACTCGGAATTTAATCATATGCAACAGTGTCCATTTTTTAAATTATACATTCGATAATTATATAAACGCGTAACATATGTATCACATTATAGCTACACCATTGCGACGACAATTGCTTGTTCAGCATTTTGTTTCTTAATATAAGAATATTTATCGAAATTATGTCAAATATAAAATTAATATTGTGATTTCTATAATATTACGTATATATGTATATATTACTATTTTTTATAATATATAATAATATACATACATATAATTTGTTAGTACTATTTCTAAATTATATTGCTACGCAAATATATATTCATTGTGTGGAATTATTTTATAATATACAATATGTTTAAATCTACTTGACCAAACCATAAACATATGCTTACGAGAAACAAAATTCCGAATCTGAATTATAGATGTATGCAAATGTATAAGCTAACAAATACAATTGATTAACGAGACGTGATATAAATTATTGAGAGTAACAATCTATTATAAATAAAATAATAATACACAGGTTGCGCATCGTAATAAAAAGCAGTTTGTCACACACAGTCCTCATGAATATTATCTTCGCCATTAATATGAGTTATAAATGTTACGCGCATGGATTATTTATACATATGTCCCCCCTGTTCAATGTTAAACATCGAAATAAGCAAATATAAAAAAAAATTCGAGTCTAACATTTTTTTGTCGCTTTACAACATATCCAATCGATCCATCGGTCCATGTCAAAGTCAACCATCGAGGGACCATCTGATCTTACCTTCATTAGCTCTTTCCACTAACCTTCGTTCTGCGAATAAGTTCTCGACCATTCTAGCGTGTGAATAGCCAATTAGCTTATTAAAATCCTACTTCTTAGTGTGTTTCGATGTGCTGTGGTCTTTAGCGTTGACCTTGACTGCTTCCAGTTTACTCTGTCTCGGACGAAGAATATTATCATGAACACGTAGAACACGTAGGACGTTTTCGCATCTTAAAAAGTCAGATGGCTACGCTTAACGTGCGATCTGAGCACGAGGAGTTTCCGCTAACAGTGACTCTGAATCTGCACAGCTCGTATCTAATTCGTTTAGATGTAAGGCAAGTTCTATGAGGTTCTATATGACGGTGATTCTTCGTGAATGATATTCTTTGGCGCAAGATTCTTTGGAATCTTCGTTCCAACGGTGAGTAAATTTACCGAGTAAACAACGCGATATGAGTGCCTCGAGAATATTCAGGCATAGCAGGCGTTCTATCTAAGCTTGTTAAAAGAATAAATCTTGCGAATGAAGAGCGATTACTAATTAGCTAGCTATTTACCTCTTTATAAGCCGCTCGTTACAAACCGCTGTGACGTATCAGCTCGCTCGTTGCCCGTCGAGGCCTCGTCACCTTCACGTCCTGCAGGAAACGCGCGGACGCGCCTCAACGAATCGCATTCTCGCCACGAGACGGTTCAAAAGTCCGCAAGTTTCGGTTGGCCGATTTAAATAGACGACCAAGTGGAGCTGGCCGTTATAGATTCAGCGCGATTTATCGAATGTGCCGCGAGATTTTCGGAATGACGACATACGGAGACGACACCATCGCGCGCGATCTCGATCCTCGCGCAACTTCACTGCTTGTCGGCGCTTGAGAGTCGCTTTACATCGCGGCGCGGCAACGACAAATCGCGGAAATTCGGCCGGCCGGCCGGCCGGTCGGCAGACGCACAGAGTTCGCGTCGCTCGGTTGACGGAGGAAACTCACTTTCGAACGGAAACCGCAATTTCCCTCCGTAAGTGTCGGACGTGCCGTTGACAAAGCGACACGACGCGCGGAGCTGTGGAAGATGGAGAGGAAAAGGAGGGAAAGAGAGAGAGAGAAAGAGGAGCACGAAGCCGACGAACGTCCGAACCGCGTGGCGTGTGCGCATCGACTGCTAACTAACTTCAGCCCAGCGAGCTTCGGGCGCGATCACCCTCTCTCCGTCCTCGTCGCGCCAAACGCCGCTGCTCGCTTCGCCGTCTCACTCGCACTTGCGCGTTCGCCCATCCGCCATTCTACCTGCTGTTTCTCTCTTTCTGCTACGTTGTCGTCTTCCTCCTCCTTCCCGAGCGTTCTCTCACCCTTTGCGCCGCGCTCGTCCCATTCCTTTTTCTCTCTCTCTCTTTCTTTTTTTCATTTTCTCTCTCTCTCTCTCTCTCTCTCTCCCTTTTTTGCCTCTCCTTCTTGTTTTCTCTCTCGCTTTCCACCTTGTTCGCATTGCCAGCCGGAATATCGCGTCCCCCTTCGGTGACGGATTTAAAAGGAAAATCGCGATGAAAGTATGAGAATCGAGCTAATTTTGTGTGCGTTGCTTCCATATTTAGAAATACAAATCCGGTCGGTATATATGTGTGTGTGTGTGTGTGTGGATGTGGGAAGAATATTATAGCTTGGTTCCGTGTCGAATTCTTTTCGCCATGGTTTCTAATAGTCTACTCTAATATCTTTTTTAACAGCCAGAACCTCTGATAGTTTTTTAATAGTCTATTCCGTATTTTTCCTTTTTTGACGCATGCGTTACGCATCCGTCACGTGATAACTGCCCAACAACGCTTAAAGATAAACTATACTGTCAAAAAAGTTACACAATAAATATACAAGAATAGACTATCAGTAGAGTTTATCCTACTAAAAAATGTAGAGTAAATTTTCTTCGATAGACCAGATTCTAACCTACAAATAATACAAGGATGAAATGGAAGAACTCGGACATCGATATGTTTCTCGGTTGTAAAAATTCTCCCCGGCAATCTCTCCTACTGAATTATCTTCGGGTGTCGCTTTTTTGTGTCCAAAACGTCAAGCTTTATCTCAAAAATGCCGAGATAACACGATAATAAAATACTTTCGAGCCTGCATCGAATACTCGACGTGTTTCGAGCGAACGTTTCGAGCAAGATCTGATTAGACACTTGAGATAAAAAGAACAGATTTCTATTTTTCGACGAATGCTCTTTGCTGAAAACCGTTCAGATCCCCTCTCCCGTCTTTTTCTCCCCTGCGATCCTCCGTTAAGCGCGTTGATTTACCTGTCGTCGCGTATCGTACGCGAAGAGGCATCGCTATTTTCGTAATCAGAGGTACGTGTTCTAGGAAAGTTGCGCGTCGACGCGCGCTAACACTTTGATCGATGCTCTTTGTTGCACACGCTGCGAACTAACAAATGGAGTGGCGAAAGTTGCTGACAATTTATAGGAAGTTCGTGCTGCGCCGCGCGCGCGCGCAGGCGTCCACGCGCGCATGTCACTATGTCATCCTTAAAAGTTAGCGGGCCGAAAGTCGCGGCGTCGCGGCTTTTATTTGGGGATGCAAGACACCGTGCGGGCGGTGCGAGCACGGTGGCGGTTTCACAAACTTCTCCGATTCTCCGCCCCCAAAATGGAAATCGAGAGCACACTCGTGCAGCAATCGTCGTTTTCTTTCTCGCCAACACTCGTCTCCTGTTTCGTGATATCCGATTCTCGGACGTGACTTTTTACGAGCCCTCCCGCGCGCCCTCGTCGCTCGCTGAGAGTACCGGCGACCGACGTCTGCGGACGATCGCTCTTGGAATTTTCGTCACGCATGGAACGGAATATCTCACGTTTCTAAATTAGCGAGAAATATGGCGGGAGCGATGGAGAAGAATGTGAACTCTTGCACTCGTGACAACAATTGCCCGTAACAACGAGAATAATTTCCCCAGAATCTGCCCGTGTCCTGTCGAAAAAGTTGAGCTTTTACCGTGGCGTGTAGCATACTATTAAAGGACATCCGACCGTGAAATCCCGTTTTTAAGTGTTTCCGCGCGTTGCCACACGCAGTATGTGGGCGGAAAAACAGGTTTCAGGAAACGTACGGCACACGCGACGATGTCGGGCGAAAATACTGAATACATAAAAAAGCGCCGTTGCGTATATACGGCCGTATTTACAAACAAATCCGATGCGGCGGTACTTATTACTTTTATCGTTATTATTACTGCTGTTATCGTTGCTGTTGTTGTTGTTGTTGTTATTGTTATTATTGTTGTTGTTATCATTACGCGTCGTGAAAATGTCGCTACGGCGAAGGATAACGTCGAGCGGCCTGCGTACGACGCAGGCATGAACGCGCGCATTTTACAATCCGCAATTTAAAGTTCTATAAAGTGCGACAAGGCATGCGAAGTATCATTTACTTTTTATTCTGGGAGAAAAGCGGAGGTAAATATTAATTAATATCAGCGACGATATCACCGATTTCAATGATCTTGACATGTGTTGTCAAGGACATACATATCAAGTAAAAATTATTAACAAAAGAAGTTTCATAAATAGAGCCTATTTTCCCGACACACTACACATTAAAAAATGTCAAACAGTATATATGAGCTGATAAGAAGCGGAGCCTTTTCCCCTGCACCTCTTTCCCGAAAAAACTTAACCTAATCCAACTTATACAGGGTGTTCGGGATCTTTTGAAAACGAAAAATTGTAAAAATCAGATTGTGATAATCAGGTGAAATTGAGAAGAAAAGTCAAGTACCATTTTGCAAAGATCGCAATAGTTATTAGATTATTAATGATTGAAAATGGCCACATGTACACAGAGAGAACGATTTAGTTGAATTTAACAAATGCTTATTTGGAATAGTCCAAATAAATTTTTTGACTGATCGAACAAAGTTTTGTTTGACGCAACAAAATTATTTTGTTGCAGCTTAGTTGAACGAAATGTTTTTGTTGCGTCAAACAAAACTTGGTTCGGTCAACCAAAACCAAGAGGCTCTTTTCATTGATAACTTTAAAATTTGCATACTTATTTGTACTTTTTTTGTTCAAAATGATCTAATCTACAATTATATGACGGCTATTGTGCCCAGTGACAAGTTCAAAATTTACGGTCCAAAGTTCAATATACTCATATCTATCGCTAGACATATATATTGACATAATAATAGCTAGACATAATAATAGCCCTCATATAATTGTAGGTTAGGTTATTCTAAACGAAAGATTTCTTTACCATTTGGCAAATAAGAATGCAAATTTTCAAGTTATCAATTAAAAAAGCTTCTAGATGTGATCATTTTCAATCATTAATCACTTAATAACTATTGCGATTTTTGCAAAATGATACTTGACTTTTCTTCTTACAACAGTTTGATCTGATTAATCTTCACAATTCTTTATCGATCTTCACAACTTTTCGTTTCCGAAAGATCCTGGACATCATGTATATTTGCGGATGGTTGAACGTTATGGGTTTTACGGGAATTTTCTCAACAACGCCCAACTATATACAAAGATGTATAAGTTGAGTTAAGGTTAAGTTAAGTTAGGTTCTTTTTCGAGCAGGGAGTCTCATGTTCACACATGTATAACATTTTTCAATCTATATACAGTGTCGAGAAAATAGATTCCATCTATCTAAACTTCTTTCGTTCGTTATTAACTTTTTAATAAATAATGGCGGCTAAAACCTTTTGTAAGCCAGTCAGAGCTATGTCTTTGACAACATATGTCAAGGTCGTTGAAATCGGCGAGGTCGCTACCAATGTCAATATTTACTGAAACGAACATGTCGGATATCTCGTTTTATGCGAGAAACGCGCGATACGACGCCACGTCCGAAATTACGGTCGCGACTTTGCGCATGCGCGCAGTCATAAAGTAACAATTAAATGCTTGGATAACGCTCGATATGTCGAACGATATTCCGACCGACTTGATAACACATTCGCGTCGTCCACCCACACCGTCTCGCGTCCCGTCTATGCGCTGCACGACAAAAACACATCCTCCGTATCTTTCCTCCCGTTTCTCTTTCTCCCCTCTCGACCCTTCGAATATCTCTTTACGCTATTTCCTCCCCCCCATCCACCCCGGACCACTTGGTAATCCGGTGAAATCGTAAAATTCGGGAACGCGCACCGGCGAGCGTCGCACTGAGCCAAGATCGTAAAACGCGATTCCGTGCGCTCTTACTGATTTAAACCTCACGATGCATCCCGTGGAATCCCGACGTGGCCGCTCTTTTTCCGTGAAACGGTGGATCGCTCGCCCGCAAAACGACGGGATTCTCCTGCTTCGGCATGGTGCGTTCTTATCCTTGCCTCGGAACAGCGACAGACATTTTTCCGCGAGTGTAAACGGTTGCTATCGGTATTGCTGATAACTGAGGCATAATTATCGGGCGAATATGAATGCGTGCTTTACATTAATGTCTCTCGTTTCGAATACGTTCGCAAAAGCATTCCAGTGGAACTTCCAGTTCTTTTTTGGTGTCGAAACACAGAGAAATCGTCGCAAGTGTCCGATTTCGACGTGCTTGAATATGTTGTGAAATATCAAAAAATATTAGACTCGTATATTTTTTAGCAGCATATCTTAAAGGTGGGAGATTGAAACAATCCCTCAGAAATAAGAGATTTTTCAGTTTTAGCAAACATCTTCGAGAATATGAGGTAAATGAAAAAACGTCTCATACAAAAGTTTTTTATAGTATTTTACGTCCTACAACAGTGTATTCATATTTTTCAAAAATATAAAATTTTTTTACATTACTCTTATCCCCATATCCATTGGTCAAAATTTTTTCACTTTTAGCGAATACTTTCAAGAATATAAGATACATGCAAAAATATTTTATATAAAAGTTTTTTATATTCTACAACGATGTATTCATATTTTTTAGGAATGTAAATTTTTTTAATTTTTTATTTACCCCCACCCGATCCATAAAGATATGAGCATAAATGAACATACATATACAGAGTGTCCCACGTAAAATGGCCAATCGTTCGTGTGCAGGTAGAATGGACTAAACTGAAAAATCTTCCATTTTCTTGAACCATATGAAATTTTGAGTTATTAGAGAAAGAGGATTAAGACGAACCAGAGGACGCGCGATGCAGTGAGGAACAGGGGTAGGATAGAAAAGATCGTGTAGAAAATGGCTGACCACGCGATTGCCTCTCAGCAATCAATATCAGATGCTATGATAAACAATTGTCGCTCGCATCTTCTCCACCTTTCGCTGCTCTCCGATATTAATCTCCAATTACAAATTGATACAGATTATCGTCTCGTTTTCCTAAAAATTGGAGGTGGAAATATAATATTATTATACATGAATGAATTTGGCATCCGATGCTCTTTAACTTATGTCTTTACAAAATTCTTCAATTTTACAAAGATGAAGAAAGGGGTGGGGGTAAATTGAAAAATTTGATATTTTCGAAAATCGTGAATCGTAACATTGCAAAGAATATAAAATATCATAAAACTTTTGTACAAAACGCTTCTTCATGTACCTTATATTTTCAAAGATATTTATCAAAAAGACAAAATCTGTTACTTTGAAGGGGTTGTTTCAACTCCTAGACTTTGAGATACGTCTCTGAAAAAACATAGATCTAATATTGTTCGGTGCAACCATAATATATTCACAATTTGTGACGAAAAAAAACGAAGAGTCTCGAAACTGACATCTTGAGTTGTCAGTTAACGTAAATATTTGCTCCTGCTCGGTCGTGACAATGCAAAGCATTCAGTTGGTTCAGTTTCAGTTGCAATAACACGCAACCTTTTTGCATTAACTAAAAGGCAGTTAGTT